GGCTGTCAACGTGGCGGTGCGCTCTGCCTGCATTTTGTTTTACAGGACGTACCCTTTAATTCTGAGTGACCCCCTTGTTCTCATCATGGATTAGGGCTCTTTGATAACAACTGTTTACAGCATGGACTACAGTTTCTTCCACACCGAGCCCGACCACTGCTGTCCGCAGGCCTAGCGGCTCCAGCATGCCTTTGCGTACTCTGAGTTTTCAATGGATGCGCTTAAGCTGCAGCCCAGCTGTACTGGAAACCCTTGACATGGCCTCAAACACAGATGCCTTTCAGGAGGGAAGAGCTCCCTTCCCTGCAAAGATGAGCACACACTTTTTACACAGCCGCCTCGCTAATGGACTGCATTGTTGATTGATTTAAATGTTGGTTCTCCCCCGATGTCTGAGAACTTTAATAAAACAGTCTGGGGAGCCTTTTGGGGGGGGCTGTGTGAGTTTTCTTTCCCAAACAAATGGGCTTTATGACTAAAAACAGGGTTCTTAGTATAGTTGGCACCAAGCGGTGCCTCAGCCCTGCACAGTTCAACTAGCCTCACCACCGTAGCGAGCTGTAATTCTTGCTACTTTACAGTTGGGGAAACTGAGGTACCATGTTAGGGATCGAGTCCAAGGTCAAGGCAATGAGTCAGTGGCAGGAATGGAAATAAAGTTCTGTGAGCTGGGGCCATACTGACCTCTCAAGAGACTAAAATGAGCACACACCTCACAGCTATCCTGCCACTGGCTGCAGGTCAGCGATCAGTGAGAGCAATAAGGGACAAGAATGAAAACGTCAGAGCCAGACTCTGGCCTTATAGGAGTAACGTGTCAAATGGGCTTTGGTGGCCAGCCCACGTTACAGCACAGGTGTCAGGGGAATCGGTAGTGTTAACGAGGACGAGAGGAATGTTGAATGACCACTGTAGCTCTACACCAGGAGTGGGCAAACTACGGGCCGGCAGCCCTCGAGCTCCCACAGGGGAGCAGGGTCTGGGGCTTACCCCGCTCCAGCTGGGGCACAGGGTCTGAGGCCACTGCAGGGTCTGGGGCCGCTCCACGTGGCTCACGGAAGCCACAGCATGGCCCCGCTCTGACTCCTACGCACTCCAATGGCCCATTCCAGCGCTCCAATGGGAGCTGCAGGGGCGGGGCCTGTGGACAAGGCAGTGTGCAGAGCCGCCTGGCCACGCCTCCATGCAGGAGCCGGCAAAGGGACATGCCACTGCATCCTGCACCCCTGAGCCTCTCCCCACACATCAACCCCCTGCCCCAGCCCT